AACTGCATGTACCGCTTCTGTCAACCCGTTTAGTGTCTCCAGATGCAATGCAAATAAAAGTGAGTGCTCAAATCCAGGTCCCATCTGCAGCCGCAGAGGACCAAGACCTTGGAGCAACGCCGAGCCATGGCTCTGCTGCACTCAGGTGGTGGGGCTGGTGTCACTCAGTCCACCACAGCATTGGTCTCCTGCACACCAACACCATGGCCAGGGCCACATGGGAATTCACACCACGCAGACCTTGAGTGGTCCAACCCCCTGAGCAGGCTGAGGGCTCAGGGATCTCTGTGTGGCACCACAGCCCACGGTAGTCAAGACCAGGTCTTTTCTGTGGCCTCTCTCCAAAGCACTGAGTACCCCCATGGCTACTTGAGCTGGCTGCTGGGCCCCTGGGCTTGGTCCTTGCTGGACTCTTAAGGGAAAAATGGTTTAAGACTTCGGGGCAGTGACAAGCATTAGCTCTTTGTGACATGTGGTGGCACCCTGAGGTGGATTAAGGAATTGGATGGGATGGTGCCGTATTCTGATTTTGTAGGATACCATGGTACAGGTGTTATTTTGCAAGACATATAAACAGTAATGGATCTCCTTTCCCAAGAAGCACACACAGGTTAAATTCATAATGCCAGACCACACCAACTTGCGCCAGTTTCTTTAAACCACTCTTCACATCTTTACCATTGCCTAATATGATTATAGCGTCAGTGAGCTGCCTGAGATGTTGCTACGTACCCTGTGGCTCTGGGCACAGCTTATCTTCGTAGTATTTCTGTTGAAGAACCTCCTGAGGAGGCCAGGTTTGATTCTCATCTGACACCAGTTTTATGCAGTACCTCATCTGCACCTGAATTTGCTCTCACTTCTATCTGTAGAGCCGCGGGATCCCCCTGGCTGTACACAAGATCTGAACTCAATCTCTTCCGACTTCAACAGCTACCACCACGGGTTTAAATTGGCTTGAGATGATCGGAATCACTGATCTTGGAAGACAAAAGAAATAGACAAAACATCTTTGAAACAGAATGGCTAAAGTAAAGCTACCGAGTCCGTCAGAGAGGCAGGTCTGACAAGAACACCGGGGAGAAGATGGCTACGCTGCAAGTTGGGCAGGAACATTCTGCATTCAGTAGCGGGAGGTTTAGATAATGAAGAAGAGCCTAACTGAGCTTTCAGCCTACATATATAGGCTACAAAATATCAAGTGATATATCTAAAATATGTCACTATATCTAGTGAGATACATATATACGTCTATGTCTCATTAGACAACACAGAATGCCCACAGGCATCGCTGTGTATAGTGGTCTGGTTACGTCATGGAAGTCCAGGAGAAGTATTAAAAATAGAGGAATTGAGCCCTCCCAACATTAACAAGACTTGTTTTATTTGTGTTTATAAAATAGTAAGTAAAGTAAAGCTGGAAGATGTCATAAGGACAGTGAGCTGGTTTCTCACCCTCCTCCCCTCTGCGGTGAGGTCGGGGAGATGCTGCGAGGGGCAAAGGCCCTTTGCAATGACACCTCGGACACCTGCCCAAATACAGGACATTCCTACGCTTGGTTCAAAAGGACAAATCGATTTTCTTTGGTGACTTGTGAAATATTTTGCCTTTCTTGAAATTTCAAGACACTGGTCTATTGCAAATGAGTCAATCTTCTGGAAAAAAAAATGTTGACAGCACATTCGGTTCTGACACTGACTTCAGGGACCACAGGACCAAGATGACAGAGTTGTTGCTACCTTCTGTCATACCTTCATTGCCTGCAAGGAGACGACAAATGCAAATAGGACTAGACACAAACTACAGAGGAACACTTTAATAACTCTGCTACCACTCAGCAGTGGTTAGATGTTTTCTCCTTACAGCTACTGCATCTTTTTTCCTGGGCTATGAAGTACTGAGCAAGGACTTTCTGCTGCAAATCCACATCCAAATCCACACATATGTGTACAAACACACTCACACACGTGCGTGCTTCAATACTGTGTGTAGTGGGGTTTCTCCTGAGCTCAAAGCAAAGTAGTATATTAATACTTAAGTCAGAATCCTTACCAGCCTTGTTTTTGCTGTACTTCAAATTGCCTTCACAAAACTAATCATTGGATTTAGACAGCATTAAATACTGATAAAAGTACAAAGAAAACATTTCTTCCAAAGTACCTAAAAACTTATCAGTGAATCTAAACTGTTATAATGGAAGAACATCATAAAATCTGTGAAATTAACAAAGCATAGAAATTAAGGTCCAGATTCAATTTCTCAGACTTCATTTCTTTAGGAGGAATAAAGATCTCGATCTTTATTCTTAAAAAAACCCCACACTGATATCAACAGGACTTGGAGGTCATTTATAAATGAGACAATATAACCACAGAGAGTGTATTTAAATGATGAAAAGTCCAAAGACCATGTAAGAAAAAGCAAAATTAAGCTATAAGAAGCAAGCTGTGAAAGTTGCCACCAACACTATCAGCAAAAAAGGCTGTAAGCTAAATCAGAATGATTAAAAAAATAAAGTTAAGGAAAAAGGAAATAAAAAAAAAAATAAAAAGCACAAATATTCGGCCAAACCTGGTTACCCAAACTCAGCGTGAACCGTTTACACTCTTAGTTTGCTATGTGTGGGAAGAGCGATTGGTCCTTTGAAAGGAGCCAAAGGAGCATAGCTGAGATCAGTGACCAACGGGACATGGTCTAGGGGAACACGGCCCATGTGGGATGCATCATCTCAGGCTTTCCTTTTGATCCCTGCTCTCCAGGACCCACCACACATCGCATGGCTTGAGATACTGCACTCAGAGCAGGATATTCTGCCTGCACGTTGTCAAATACTTCACTTACGACCTGCTGCTGCTCTTGACATGGAGGTTAAGAGCTATGTAAATGCCTCGCTTGAGCACTTAGGACTTTGCTCCCTTGGATCTCGTACTGATGGAGCTCCCAAATGCTCCTGTTTAGCCCTTTTACTGGCGTGATCCCTTCACTGCTGAACTATTGATATTGCTCCAAATCTCCTGAAGCATGGGACACAAATGACAGTCTTGTCAGCTCTGGCAATTTTTTATGAAGCTTGGTGTCCTTCTCAAATCCCAGCTGCAGAAATCGAGAGATTATATCACTGTCCCAGTTTATCACTATTGAAAACAAATGTGTAGTTTCTGGCCCTCGGCATGCTTGAAAAATGCCTGAAAACTTGTCATGAAATCAGTCTCAGAGCTCAGTATCCAGAAGGCAATACAGGAACCAAAAAAGTTTATTTATAGAAAAAAACCAAACCAACCCATGATTTGAAGCCAATCTTGTAATTTTTGGTGCTTGGTTCATGAGTTTGAATGCCTGAAGTGGGCAGTGTTAAGAGCAGACATAGCAAATGCCCAAGCAAACACACGCTGCTTCTCCATGGATTGAAACAAACAAACAATCTCATTTGATTAACTCTGCTGGAAGTAATATTTTAAGGGGTAAAATGATTCCACAAAGATGACATGTTGGCATTTAAAATGAGATGAATATAGTGCCTGTAAAAGTGCAATAATCCTTAATAACTAACCCAAAAGAAGCATCAACCCCAGGGATAAGACGGTAATTCACTCTCCATATTTAATTTGTTTCTAAGCTGCTTTTGAAACAAGACTGCTAAATAGTAAGTTGGCTTGTGATCCTAGACTTGACTGCTGGACTTATTATAATCATGCCATTGATTCAGCACACATTTCAAACTAAGTCACAGGATCCAAAATCAGGTGGGCTAATTCCTTAAGCTGTTTAAGCTTGTGAACACGGGGTAAATTTAGAGATAGGAGTCTGTTTACTGCAAGCAACAGGGGAAAGATAATACATTGTCATCACCGAGTGACTGCAGCTGACTCTTTGAACAGTCTTGTGACTGAAGATTGTATTTCAAGACATATCTCCCCTTCATAAATGCATGGAAGTCTAGGATTTCAGTCTACATTAAAGGAACAAGTGACGACAATGCACTTAATTAGACTAAATAGTTACTGAATCTCATTAGTGAGATCTCGCAAAAAGAATGGAAAACTCTGGCTTAACAAAAACGCCCAACAGTACTTCAACTGTTACATATAAAAATAAAAAAAAATACTGCAAGTGTTTTGTTTTCTTTTTCTTAAAAAAAAAAAAAACACCCAACAACCACCTTTCATCTACATTTCTGAATAGTTCTCACTGTCATGGTTTTATTCATTAGCTACCGGGGCCAGAATCAGCGTGACCAATGCTGTCAGATTCACGTTTCGGCCGTGTTACCGAAACCCTCTGAGAACAGATAAGGGTGTATCGACCACTTCAGGAACAGGAATGTGCAGATAATACAGGATGTGCATGTTCTGCAAATGTCCTTTGCAGACAACCCTAAACTGGATGATTTCTCTAATGATGCACCTTGGCTAAATTTACAATATAGTCTAGTGGAACAAAATATTAGAAATTATTGATTTTTAAGAAAAGGCAGTACTACAGGGAGTTAATATACAACAGCTACAGTAATATTTGTCTTGAATGTGCATTGGGCAGAGTCCTTAAACTGCTCTTATTGCAAATATCCAAGGCCTGCTCTAAAAATCATACGAGTCTGAACCTTTTAAATGCAAATTTGTCCTATTTATCTGGTCACAACCCAGTGAGTAGAATCCAATAACTCACCAGATTAAAGGATATACAGGATTATATAGCAGAAGGTAATTGCAATTAACTAATATCTGGATGGCATTTAATACACATATTGTATTATTTCAATGAGATGAGACAGAATAATATTTACATTACTATGAGCATTTTCTCTTTATAGAAATGGAATTTACAGTTCAGTAAGGTATGCAGGCGCTATATCAAGAATGAGATGAGACCATTTAAAGTCTTGTGAATTATTGATATAAATTCATTTTGTTTTGTTTCATGCACCAGCGCTTCTTGCAGTGGCACCAGAAGAGCAGTGCAGTTTATAACAGGGGAAAAAAAGAAGAGGAAAGAGCAAATGTGAAATGGTGTAATTTATTCACAATTGCTTTGAAATTCTATCTGAATTGTCTCATTATTATTCACGCATTAGAGGAATGGTCCAAAACATGACAGCATAGGTAAACAGATGCAGAGTTTGGAAAATAGGTAATCTGACTGAAGTATTCGTGGCTATTATTAAACAAATGTTATATTGCTTTTGGGTAAATCTGGTGATTTTATTTAATTTGACATTGTTTTCAAGATAGCAAGATAATACTGTTCGTTTCTAAAGCTCTGAAATGAACAAACAGGTGAAAATTGATGCCACATGGAATTATAATGTTTCAACAGTAGCTGGTTAGTTAAACTTCTAGAGACTTTTCATGAAGAATCTGCATACACTTATTAATGGACTTTTACATACAATATCAATGCTTAGAGTGCAGCGGTCCCATTAAAATCTGCTTTCACTGAGTCACTATGCAAGGAGAGATTGTTCTATGAAGAAGAATCTTGGATGAGTATTTGTTTGAGACTAAACAGTAAAACTGAAAGAAAATTCACAGATTTAGTACAGGAATGGTAGATAAGACTATGAAAGCTAATATTTTGAAATTGCCTAAAAACTGCAATAAATTCTGCTGCCTACTGAAATTATTAAGCCAACAATAAACAGGAAGAATGGAATATCAAAACCTCATTGCATAGTGTTTCATCGTTCTTTAATGAGGCATTCCTTCAACCTTTTACCTCTTAACACCTTTGGTGATCTTACATTATTTACCTGTAAGATATTCAATGTTCTCTTTTAGAGATTAAGCCTATAGGAAGTATGAAATCTTAGGAATGTACTGTGTCAGGTAACGATGCCAGAATTAAGCGCCGAAAAGCTTGGTTCAGGTTCAGAAGACGATTTTGAATGAATAGCTATAACTTCTACTAATTTATTTCAGAAGGGACTTCTCATATATACCCTCAAATATTTAAGACGCTTTGTACTATTTCTCAGGAATCCATATCTTCTCAAAGTGCTTTTTTGTTTTCACTTGAAGGCAGCATGGACTTAAAACAATACTGCAGGGAATGTACCGTTCCATAAAGCACATAAGGATGGCAGGATCCAGGAGACACAAGGCATAGAAAATTGTTGAAAATTATTAGATGGTACAACACATACTGCTCTTGAGTCATAAGTTCCATTTATGGTGACTTCTACTTCCAATAGATAGGATATTAAAAAAGGCAATAAAAATGAAGTTACATGAATAAACTTCCAGAAATGAGTGGAGTTCCACCAGTGATCGTCTCTGCGCTGGTAGAGGTAGAAGAATGGGGATGTAATGAACGGGGCAGCAGTCACTACAACAAATGAGCCTCAATGCGGAGCCAGTGGAGTCCTTGGCGAACATAACGAACCAGATTGGTCATACTGCTGTGTTGTGTTAAGGGTCCCATCACTGAGTCCAGGTCAACAAAGAATTCTGCAATAAACAAGAAACAGAAGTCAGTAGTTTCAGGCAATGGTACAAAAATACATGTATTACCAAGATTTCCCACTCAGTAGCAGCAGTGCAATTAGTGAGTTCTCAAGATGTTGTGCACATGAGCACATGGTCAGTAGGAAAGAATTTAAACAAAGGCAACAATATATTTAAACAGAACAAATCAGATTATCCATGCTGGAAGTCAATGACAACATGCTATAAATGGTTGCCAGTGGTCTTCCTTTGGCTCTGATGATCTGCACTTTCAGTTTTTTGAGCCTAGGTTTGCTGACTGCATGATTCAAACAGCTGGCAACGAACCATGGCATTTTCTTTTCTATGTTGTACCCTCTCCTGGGCAGGAAGAACTAGTCTGGATCTTGCAGATGACCTTGCTTGCTCTTTTCCCCACCTTCCAAATTCTGTTCCTGCCATTGCAGCAGTTTTGGCCCTCTGCTCATCCTGCTCAGGCTGCAGGCCCAGAGGATGTGTTTCCCCACCTTCCAAATTCTGTTCCTGCCACTGCAGCAGTTTTGGCCCTCTGTTCATCCTGCTCCAGCTGCAGGCCCAGAGGATGTTTGTGGGGTGAGAGGGGAGAAGAAAGAGGGGAGAGTGAACACAGGAGGAAAATACCATCTGGGAGATGAGGGGAAAGAAAAGACTGGTAAGGCCACTGGGATCTGGTGTTGGAAGGGTTAACATGAGGTCACTAAACAGAGAGCCATAGTTAGGAAGCAGCACATCAGTTTACTTCATGCCATGTGTTAGATGCACTTTTGGTGAAAGACTAATCCTGTTAGGCCCAACGGACCTTTCCTAATTGCTTTCAATGGAGAACTGGATTGTGTCCTCTGTTCTCCCACAGCTTGTCTTTTTGCTCACTGGGGCACAGGCATTCCCACATACACAACAGTGACACTATATTTAGGTGAGTGGGAGCCCCCTCTCAGTTAAAGCCCCTCAGAGCTCAGATAACAACCGACAACCCCAATAACTGGTGGCTGAGCCCTTGCATTCTCACCCTATCTAAAACCCGGCGTGCGGCACTCAGCCAGCTAACACTGTACTGGCTGCAGTTCGGGAGAGCAGACGATGGGTACAAAATCATTATCAGTACTTTCTTCAGCAAGTAAGTGCTGCTTTGAGGTCTTCTATCCGAGTATTGACAGCCTGACCCTGGTCAGCTTGGGAGCTACAGCAGTATCACAGCACAAAGTGATTTGGCTGGAAGCAAGCATAATGAAAGCTTAGGGCTATCACCAGTTGTGTTAAGATGCTGCAGCCAGCAGTTAGTTTTAATCTTCCTTCCTCTGTCTTTTTTCCCCCTCTTCCAGTCTAAAATCAATACATTTGGAAGTGAAATAATGCACTGCCTTGCTTGCATTCTAAGGATCTCATTCTAGGCTCAGATAAATAACAATTGCTTTAAACACTGAGAATTCACCTTTAAGCCTAATTTCAGTTTAGCATTTCTTGGAAAAGCTACAGGCACTGAAGCCACTTATTAAATCTATACTTGAAAGAACAAGCCTACAGAGCTGATAGTTTTCTACTGTAGAGAAAAAGTGCTGCTGTCTTTGGAAGCTTAAAAAAATTACTTGATTTCATAAAGTCAGCTGAGAGTTTGATGTTATAAATGGTGAACAACTCTCTAGGTGATCCAAACAAAGCAGCCCATGGGTTGGCTTTGGGAAGTCTGTGGTTTAGCCTGGCCTGCTACGTACGCAGAGTTTATGACAAACTCCATCTATTCTCCCACACACTCTAAACTCTACTGACCAGGGGAAATTCAACCAGAGCTACACGGCAGTATGTTCCTGCTTTCCTTTTCAAACCAGATCAGCTTGGCGGGTCACAGTTCTGCTGTTCTCCCTCTTGCTATGCCTTTTTATTTTAATGGCACATCTTTTGTCAGGCTGACAAGAACGGCTTCTGTCTCCTGCTCTGAGCCAGCTGGACACGAGTCAAGTCCAAACTGGGAGCGTGCAGGCATACTCAGAGGAGCACAAAACCTAAGCTGACAGCCGTGGACAAGGGGAGGCTGCACAGACCCTACAATATGGAAGAAATCTCTTGTGTCTGCATGGGCATGACCTAAGAAACATCTATGACAGCAGTAAGACTCAGAGGTAAAGGCTATTAGACATTACAACAATGGGGCCACATTTTTATACCCATCTCTATTAGCTCATCAGAGACATATTCTTGGGCACGACACACCCTGTGATTCAGAAGACAACAGAAACAATGAAGGCTGACCACAAAAAAAAAAAAAAGAAAAAAAAGAAAGAAAATAGTGACTGGATCTGTTGTTGGTTTTTTTTTTTTTTTTTAAAGAAAATTAATGTTTATCTAAATGCAGGTTTCTTTGTTGTTTTGTGTTTGTTTGGTTTTGAGACTATTCTTGTTTCAAGGAGAGGGGGCTGTAAATCTCATTTATGACAAACTGACTGCCCAAAGCCCTGAGAGAGAGGCCAAGAGATCTGTCCTTTACCTGTGAGTCAAGGCAGAGTCTGGGGTTTGCACCTGCCCTGCTTGCTGCCATGGGGCATTTTTTGACTCACAGTCCACACGCCAGTAGCAGAGCCTGGGCACTGCGACGGCTGGTCCAGCTGGCAAAGGTGGATTAGAGACAGCTCCGGGGAAAGGGAGGAGTCCTGTCCCAGCCAGCAAGTTATAGGTGTTTTGAATTATTTGAGAGGTGCAGATGACATCTACTAAAATAATTACAGCTAGGTTTTAAGACAGTCAAACTGTCTTAAATATACCCTTCTGTAAATGGAATCCATCACAGGATATAATGAAGACCTGCAGAGTACCACAGCAGTTCTTACATACTTTTTTGTTACAACATGAATTTTTCAAATTGCAGTTTAATTGTGTTTAAGCATGCAACTTTAAATTGAGTATTTAATTAGAAATGAGGTATATTTCCAGACAAAATGTAAAGACAGACACGCTACAGTACATAAGAAATTCTGATCTCTCTCCAATGGTTTATAATATGTAAATGAAATTTGAAGTAACACGAACTTTCCATTCCCTGTAACATGGCTGCAGTTTGTGAAACAAGATATGAAAGAACAGGGCACAACCCTAGATGTCTTGCTCATGTGAGAAACCCTTATTCACGCATCCAGTCCCACTAAAGTCAAAGGGACTGCTCATCTGAATAAAGATTATTTCTATATGGCTTTGCAGAATTGCGTTTATTTGATCGTAAATCAAAAAGAGAACAAAGAAGTGTGCAGGGGGGGGAAATGCAGAAAGAGAGTCAGCAGGTTTTTTCTCATCCAGCTCTAGGACTGATAACAGCAGTGGCTGGGTACATTTTCTGTCTGCTGGCTGAATGCCTGAGCTATTTTGATTCAATACCAAGTAGAACATTTAACAACTCCACAACACACAGGGCTAATTACAAGATTATCGCCATCTCATTCTCCTATCAGAGCATCCTTCTGCATTCCCACTGTAACATTCTGCAGTACATTTGACAGGGAATCACTTTCACATTTTGTGAAAATGGATGCAGCTATGGAAAAAATCCAAAATGACTACACTGCTACTAAATTAACCAATGCGAACAAAGACAAGAAGCAGTGGGGAGGACTGGACAGAACTTCTATTATTGTTCCTCATCCAGGGATAGATCATTACGACCCACCATTCAGACATAAAACTCTATAAATCTCAAGCTTAGTTTCTCTAAATCAGTGGAAATTTGCCACTGACATTAATGGGAATAAGATCAAACTGCATACAGCGAGCACATTTGTCAGGAAAAGTCAGCCATCTGAAATCTCAGTATAATTTAAGAGAATGAGCCAATTCATGATGAGAATATTTCCCAGTTCGGCTCTGCGACTCTCGTGTCAAAGAAAGCTTTGTCAATGATTTGTGTAAGCCCAAAGCTGGAATCTGAATAATTATATTTTCAAGGGGAAGTTCACGGCTGGCCAATGATAGGCCATATTTGTCCTTTAGTTACATCTCAGCCACTCCACTGAACTCGATATAACCCAGTCACAAACTGCTTGCCAAAACTCCTTTGAAGCGACGGTGGTAAAGGCTTACATTTTGTTGTTAGGAATAAACAAGCAGATTTGCAATCCCACCATAGGAGAGTCAAGGTCATGGCTTTCAGTGGACATCTCCTAATCAGACTCCCTGCGTAAACATAAAATCTAATGTTTGCTTATTATCCTAGCTAGGATTTTAATAGTCTTAAACCGGTTGACAGAGCAGTATGAAAATAACCTCGGTGCTCCACGAGAAGCCGAAACTGTGAACGAATTTGCAGACTCAAAAGCTCTCATCACTTGGGGCTCATGTTTGCTAAATTATTTGCCAGCTGCTCTGATAACCCCATGTTCAGCGTGTGTTACACATCCCCCCCTGTGCTTGACAAGAGAAGACACACATTGGCTACAGTGACCAGCAAGCAGATTTGGTCTGTTTGCTCAAGCTGTCACAGTTGTGCTCTTAGATGTGATGGTTGTGGGTCCAATTCCCAACAACGCCTACGAGAACAGAAAGAAAGCTAAAGCTGATGAGCCAAAGGGGACAGGGAAGAAGCACCTTTGTTCTCCTTAGTCAGCTTGTCAGCCATGTCCCAGTGCTCGTAGCTCCGCAGGACGTTGTTGGTGATGTTGACGTGGCTGGCAGCCATGTGGTGGATGCGCTGAGGGATGGTGATGGTCCCTGCCAAGGAGGAGCCGGTGGTGCCTGCGCTGCTTCCAGCAGAGCTGACAGGGGACGGGCTCAGGGACATGGGCGATGGCGTTTCTGTGCTCCTGCAAGAGGTAAAGGGAGAATGAGTTCCCTTACACACACCGCTTCACTGCCATCCTAAATGCACTTAAAAAACTAACTCTGCACCCCAGTAAGGGGAGAATGTGCAGTAGTAGCTTATAAGCTGGGAATGGCTGAAAATAAAAAGGGATTTAATTCTCCCTACAAATGAACCTGTTATTTAAAAAAAAAAAAAATCTATCATAAAAATAGAGCAATCTTTCAGAGAAAGAAGTATCTCATAGCTGTAATGATTTTTCTACCTGCTGCCAGAAGCTGCAATGGCAGTTAGAAAACACTCAATGTGCAATATTGGCTTATTATCAAAGCATTTTGTGGAAACCACAATGACAGTTTGCTCCAAATACAGCCACCACAATAAGTAAAGTGCAAGTCTTAAAAGCACCCTGCAGAGCAGTATTAGGAGCTGAGGGTACTGTAGGATTATGAATATCTCTATAGGCTTCTTTAAGACTGGCTATGGAGATTTGTTTCTAATTGCCTACAGTTCATCTGCACAGTTTTGTACAGAGCAGTGTTTTAAGTTACCTACTTAGTGCAGCACTAATGTTCTAATATAGATTTTCCTTTAATTCTAACACCAGCAATTAGGCATCACCTGCTGGCTGCAGGCAGTGCGGAGGTCAGCACAGCAAGCTCATGTTTAGAGCTATGCAGCACTGAACGCTCACATACAGCTATTTTCTTTGAAAATTTGTTTCAGTGAACAAGATTAAGGGTTCCAAAAACCTCTTCTCTTGCCCCCATTTGGAACCACTTACCTAAACAAATGCATTCGATTTGCTGCGGAATACACTTGAAACGCAGGGCTGAGATGCTCCCGGCACTCTCTGCATGAAGCAAAGACACCAAAACTCTCTGGATGGGGATGTTGCAACCCCCTTTCTTGACAGGCAGCCACTGGTGCTTCATGCTGTGCAACAGCATCAAGCTCACTCAGACTCACTGTGGGCCTGGCCCAAATCCCAGGGTAGAAAGGCTTCTCCTCTTGGCTTTACAAGCCATCGTCAATGGTCCTGAACATGGGGTGGGGGCACAGACCTGCTGTGCTGGTACCCTGCAGGTGCTGTAGGACAGACTGCCACCACAGCACAGCTTTGGGCTGAAAAGCACTTATGGCAACAGCTTTTGCTGCAGATTTTCCAGCAGTGGCCTGCTATTACCTGTGCTCAACAACAGGCTCCTCTGATACATTCTTTTTCCAGAGCTAGAGAGCACATTAATTCAGCAGCCAGTAGCTTTTTACACAACTTATGTGTTAGAGTTTAAGCATATCCTATGGCACAAATGTGTTGGGTTTTTTAAGTCTCAAAACATCCTGGTTACTTGACACGCCACGGTGTCTTTAATGCACAGAAGAGCTGAACTATACTAGATTAGGTTTGGGAGCAGTTAAAAATCATAAGTATCTGAGGAGACCAGGAGTATTTTGTTAGAGCCACTTACAACAAGCTGACGCACTTCTGCCAAATAAAGCACATTGTTCATTGGATTTACCCTGTTGTGCACAGCCATTATTACTGTGGTGAGTCTATTAAATCTCTCTATTTTGTGCTTTCTGTCGCTAGAGGTGGGAAACATTTCTGTAATGAAACCAGGGAAAATTTGTTTCATTGCCAGCCTGGAACTCAGGCCAACTTTGCAGAGGTTCACAACCCTTTCAAACAACAGTGGCCAAAAATTCCAGTAAGCCAAGCTGTGATTTTTGAAGGCTTGAGATCCTGAGCACACTACACTTCATGGCAATAGATAAGTTTTGCTTTGTTCAAACAAAAGATTAAGAATGCCCTGCTGTCTCCCCATTCTGAACCAGGCTGCTGATCCACATCCAGTGGTGCCATACCCTGATGGTGTTTGGTGTCTCCTCTGTGGTGTGCGACTTCTCTTCCCATCTGGTACAAATTTGCAGGGGAATAAGAGGAAACTGTAGAGAGAGTAGCCCTGAGAAGGCAGAACACACACTGCCAGTGGCAGCACCAGGCCCGTGACAATCCTTGGGGCCACCAGTAGACACCTGAGATATACAACAACTCTGAGCCAGCTGGTGAGCTTTTCTGGGGCCACCAGTAGACACCTGAGATATACAGCAACTCTGAGCCAGCTGGTGAGCTTTTCTTCTGAGATTTCAGACAGAAGACTTGAGTGTGGACTTTGTGCGTTGGGTCACAGGTGTCATAACACTGTTACAACACAGCCTTGTCATATTCAGTCATTCTTACTTGTCAAGTGCTTCCTTCTCTGAACAAAAGTCAGAGGTGTGCCCTTTCAGAGCTTTACCTCCTTATCTCCAAAGTTAGTGGGAAGAGACCAGTCAGCTGGGTGCTATGTTAGAAGTGATGCTGACCCGAATGCTGGGTTTCTGCTGCCTACGTTGTGGCCGAACAAGAATTTTCTCCTCCAGTCAAACCCCACGGATTCTAAATCCTGGGCACCTAATCAACTCCTTTAAATAGCAAGGGAGATGTCATCACCTGCAGAGCACACACTTCACAGGGGTCTATTATAGGACAGGAATAAAAGAATAACTTCCCCTCCATGAAATTTTTAGGTATAGGCCACCTCTTAAGGAACAAAAGAGGTGTAATGCTTCAGTGGTCTATTTCAGCACTAAAACTTCATGTAAAACTTACTGTACTTTTACTGCAATACAAGGTTTCACTGACATTTAAATGCCTTGAAAAACTGGCACATATTGAATAATTTAATTTAGTAGTTGCTTTTCCAATGTTAAAATATCTTTTTGGTTTTTATTTAAAGTGATTTTCTATTTTATCACTTTAGTTTGTGTTATAATCTGTATACTTAAATATCTATACACACACACATATTCAAAATAATTTTGTGTATTTGATGTGTGTGTATATATATGTATATATACTCCAAAGTATTTCCTTCAAGCAAAATGTTGGAATTTTTGGTTTTGTACCGATTCAGAACAAAGTCTGTTTGAAAACTTCAATTCTTTGTGTGCTAAACTTCAACCCCTTCTACAGCTTTATTGCTTTGTTTCCTTGGAGTGTCTAATAATCATTTCTTCTTATGAACCACTAGAAAGAAACTATTAACAATAATTGCTTTCACCTAGTATTCAGCCTACTCAAATAAAGAAGGACAGGAATGTAAAGTCCTTGTCCTTTGTTTTACCTGTATCTGTATGCGTGACCAGGAGAATGGAGCAGGAGAAAGGTGTGTGGGTGGCAACAGACATCACAAGATAAAGGCCAGGCTGCAGCAGCAACGCACCTTCAGTCTGCAGCAGATCATAACTGCATTACCCTGACTTCCTATCTGAGGTGAGGGTGTTTTAACGTTAGTATAAAGCCACCGATAATTGGTTGACTAAGTGCCTTCACATTTTCACCACTATTATGCCTTCAGTTTTATTAAACAGCACTTACCATATATCAATGAAATATTCATTGGTCTTTCATTACTGAACGAATCATTGAAAAATCATTGCAATGAAGGTTAGCTTTACTTTGGCTTCCTGAAATGACATGGTACTTGCTAGCTAATTAACAGATATTTTTATGGCCTTCATTTGGCTTGAGAAGGATGAGCCAAAGGGGACAGGGAAGAAGCACCTTTGTTCTCCTTAGTCAGCTTGTCAGCCATGTCCCAGTGCTCGTAGCTCCGCAGGACGTTGTTGGTGATGTTGACGTGGCTGGCAGCCATGTGGTGGATGCGCTGAGGGATGGTGATGGTCCCTGCCAAGTAGGAGGCGGTGGTGGCTGCGCTGCTTCCAGCAGAGCTGACAGGGGACGGGCTCAGGGACATGGGCGATGGCGTTTCTGTGCTCCTGCAAGAGGTAAAGGGAGAATGAGTTCCCTTACACACACCGCTTCACTGCCATCCTAAATGCACTTAAAAAACTAACTCTGCACCCCAGTAAGGGGAGAATGTGCAGTAGTAGCTTATAAGCTGGGAATGGCTGAAAATAAAAAGGGATTTAATTCTCCCTACAAATGAACCTGTTATTTAAAAAAAAAAAAAATCTATCATAAAAATAGAGCAATCTTTCAGAGAAAGAAGTATCTCATAGCTGTAATGATTTTTCTACCTGCTGCCAGAAGCTGCAATGGCAGTTAGAAAACACTCAATGTGCAATATTGGCTTATTATCAAAGCATTTTGTGGAAACCACAATGACAGTTTGCTCCAAATACAGCCACCACAATAAGTAAAGTGCAAGTCTTAAAAGCACCCTGCAGAGCAGTATTAGGAGCTGAGGGTACTGTAGGATTATGAATATCTCTATAGGCTTCTTTAAGACTGGCTATGGAGATTTGTTTCTAATTGCCTACAGTTCATCTGCACAGTTTTGTACAGAGCAGTGTTTTAAGTTACCTACTTAGTGCAGCACTAATGTTCTAATATAGATTTTCCTTTAATTCTAACACCAGCAATTAGGCATCACCTGCTGGCTGCAGGCAGTGCGGAGGTCAGCACAGCAAGCTCATGTTTAGAGCTATGCAGCACTGAACGCTCACATACAGCTATTTTCTTTGAAAATTTGTTTCAGTGAACAAGATTAAGGGTTCCAAAAACCTCTTCTCTTGCCCCCATTTGGAACCACTTACCTAAACAAATGCATTCGATTTGCTGCGGAATACACTTGAAACGCAGGGCTGAGATGCTCCCGGCACTCTCTGCATGAAGCAAAGACACCAAAACTCTCTGGATGGGGATGTTGCAACCCCCTTTCTTGACAGGCAGCCACTGGTGCTTCATGCTGTGCAACAGCATCAAGCTCACTCAGACTCACTGTGGGCCTGGCCCAAATCCCAGGGTAGAAAGGCTTCTCCTCTTGGCTTTACAAGCCATCGTCAATGGTCCTGAACATGGGGTGGGGGCACAGACCTGCTGTGCTGGTACCCTGCAGGTGCTGTAGGACAGACTGCCACCACAGCACAGCTTTGGGCTGAAAAGCACTTATGGCAACAGCTTTTGCTGCAGATTTTCCAGCAGTGGCCTGCTATTACCTGTGCTCAACAACAGGCTCCTCTGATACATTCTTTTTCCAGAGCTAGAGAGCACATTAATTCAGCAGCCAGTAGCTTTTTACACAACTTATGTGTTAGAGTTTAAGCATATCCTATGGCACAAATGTGTTGGGTTTTTTAAGTCCCAAAACATCCTGGTTACTTGACACGCCACGGTGTCTTTAATGCACAGAAGAGCTGAACTATACTAGATTAGGTTTGGGAGCAGTTAAAAATCATAAGTATCTGAGGAGACCAGGAGTATTTTGTTAGAGCCACTTACAACAAGCTGACGCACTTCTGCCAAATAAAGCACATTGTTCATTGGATTTACCCTGTTGTGCACAGCCATTATTACTGTGGTGAGTCTATTAAATCTCTCTATTTTGTGCTTTCTGTCGCTAGAGGTGGGAAACATTTCTGTAATGAAACCAGGGAAAATTTGTTTCATTGCCAGCCTGGAACTCAGGCCAACTTTGCAGAGGTTCACAACCCTTTCAAATAACAGTGGCCAAAAATTCCAGTAAGCCAAGCTGTGATTTTTGAAGGTTTGAGATCCTGAGCACACTACACTTCATGGCAATAGATAAGTTTTGCTTTGTTCAAACAAAAGATTAAGAATGCCCTGCTGTCTCCCCATTCTGAACCAGGCTGCTGATCCACATCCAGTGGTGCCATACCCTGATGGTGTTTGGTGTCTCCTCTGTGGGTGCGACTTCTCTTCCCATCTGGTACAAATTTGCAGGGGAATAAGAGGAAACTGTAGAGAGAGTAGCCCTGGGAAGTCAGAACACACACTGCCAGTGGCAGCACCAGGCCTGTGACAATCCTTGGGGCCACCAGTAGACACCTGAGATATACAGCAACTCTGAGCCAGCTGGTGAGCTTTTCTGAGATTTCAGACAGAAGACTTGAGTGTGGACTTTGTGCGTTGGGTCACAGGTGTCATAACACTGTTACAACACAGCCTTGTCATATTCAGTCATTCTTACTTGTCAAGTGCTTCCTTCTCTGAATAAAAGTCAGAGGTGTGCACTTTCACAGCTTTACTTCCTTATCTCCAAAGTTAGTGGGAAGAGACCAGTCAGCTGGGTGCTATGTTAGAAGTGATGCTGACCCGAATGCTGGGTTTCTGCTGCCTACGTTGTGGCCGAACAAGAATTTTCTCCTCCAGTCAAACCCCACGGATTCTAAATCCTGGGCACCTAATCAACTCCTTTAAATAGCAAGGGAGATGTCATCACCTGCAGAGCACACACTTCACAGGGGTCTATTATAGGACAGGAATAAAAGAATAACTTCCCCTCCATGAAATTTTTAGGTATAGGCCACCTCTTAAGGAACAAAAGAGGTGTAATGCTTCAGTGGTCTATTTCAGCACTAAAACTTCATGTAAAACTTACTGTACTTTTACTGCAATACAAGGTTTCACTGACATTTAAATGCCTTGAAAAACTGGCACATATTGAATAATTTAATTTAGTAGTTGCCTTTCCAATGTTAAAATATCTTTTTGGTTTTTATTTAAAGTGATTTTCTATTTTATCACTTTAGTTTGTGTTATAATCTGTATACTTAAATATCTATACACACACCACATATTGAATAATTTAATTTAGTAGTTGCTTTTCCAATGTTAAAATATCTTTTTAGTTTTATTTAAAGTAATTTTCTATTTCATCACTTTAGTTTGTGCTATAATCTGTATACTTAAATATCTATATACACATACATATTCAAAATAATTTTGTGTATTTGATGTGTGTATATATATATGTATATATACCCCAAAGTATTTCCTTCAAGCAAAATGTTGGAATTTTTGGTTTTGTACCGATTCAGAACAAAGTCTGTTTGAAAACTCAAGCAAAATGTTGGAATTTTTGGTTTTGTACTGATTCAGAACAAAGTCTGTTCAATTCTTTGTGTGCTAAACTTCAACCCCTTCTACAGCTTTATTGCTTTGTTTCCTTGGAGTGTCTAATAATCATTTCTTCTTATGAACCACTAGAAAGAAACTATTAACAATAATTGCTTTCACCTAGTATTCAGCCTACTCAAATAAAGAAGGACAGGAATGTAAAGTCCTTGTCCTTTGTTTTACCTGTATCTGTATGCGTGACCAGGAGAATGGAGCAGGAGAAAGGTGTGTGGGTGGCAACAGACATCACAAGATAAAGGCCAGGCTGCAGCAGCAACGCACCTTCAGTCTGCAGCAGATCATAACTGCATTACCCTGACTTCCTATCTGAGGTGAGGGTGTTTTAACGTTAGTATAAAGCCACCGATAATTGGTTGACTAAGTGCCTTCACATTTTCACCACTATTATGCCTTCAGTTTTATTAAACAGCACTTACCATATATCAATGAAATATTCATTGGTCTTTCATTACTGAACGAATCATTGAAAAATCATTGCAATGAAGGTTAGCTTTACTTTGGCTTCCTGAAATGACATGGTACTTGCTAGCTAATTAACAGATATTTTTATGGCCTTCATTTGGCTTGAGAAGGAAACTGTCAAAGAATTCAGTATAGACCCACCACGGCTGATTTTAGACTTAAAGGAGGCTTTGCACAAAGATAAAGGTGTGTTTCAGCTCTTCCTTCTCACCCACACCGGATGGTACCTGATTTAGCCCTGTGGGAGCCCCTCACCCCCACAACCCCAAGGCTATAAGATCAATTCCATCGCACAGAAGAACATTTTCTACCTCCTACATATTTGAAACATACCTATACCTCCCAAACCACTGCGTCAGGGCCTCTCCTTTGCCTGTAGAGGCACCAAAACTTCCCCCCCTTCTTGGAACCACTTGTTACTAGACAGAAGTACTCAGCAGAAAATACTCACTTTCCATTGCCGCCCCAAGGTGAGGGGGCCTGTGAGGCTTTTGAAGAGTTCTGTAAGTACAAAACCAAAATGTAAATAAAAGTGACACAAGTACATGAATACTGAAGACATAAGGTTTAACATGTCCTGTTTTCATTGCCAGAGCTACAGTACATGTAGCAGAACACCTCTGCACATCACCCCCATCATTAAATGGCTGCTGGATGATTGGTAGGTTCCAACCAGTAGCTTGAAAGTCACTTGATGAAAGAGGGAATACAGCAAAGTTCCAGTAAAAGCAGATGTAGTTCCCAAAGACGTGGTTTAATTACCACTAAAACTTACTCTACAAAGTAAGTTCTTCAGAGTGCAAATGACTTCTTATCTTTAGGGGGATCTGCAATCTTTTAGTAAGAAACAAAAAGGATTTGGATTGATGCCTTAATGAAATCAATCCCTCCCAAGTTGCTAGGGAGGGTGGCTTGGGATTGAGACAGTAGTAGCAATAAAACTTCTAATAAGGATCTGCTTTAATGCCCTTGTTTTTATGCATTTTATTTGCACAAATTGACTTTCCTTACCTGCTTACTCATTCTGCCTTTCACGTCTGTGTAGCACCTTGTACAGCCCTGTACAAAAAGATTGCCCAGCAACAATAAAGCCCAGATTTTTCCAGTCGTGCTCAGACTAGGAGGTATCTTACTTAGTTCCCATAAAAAGTGGTAGTGGCAGGGCTGAAGCTATCTATGTGTGCTTTCTGAAAACAATCACTCTGAGCTCCCTTGCAAAGAAGTCAGAACGCACAGTGAAAATTCAATCAAATTTTACAAGTTCTCTGCAAAGCATTACTGTCATTGTTACAGGATTCGTCTGGTTACTGCAATCGCTATTTTGGATGTGAGGCACGGAGATTGAGTGGAGCACAGAGAAGCCTAGGGCATGGCCCAAGGTCATGCAGCTGACTCTGAGAGCAAAATCCTACCCTTCTCTTCTAAAACACAGATAACTTGCCAAACAGTATTGACCAAAGCAGAAAACACTGCCCAAACCATGATGCTGGCCTTGCCTGTTTGTTGCTATATAGCGTACCACCGTGCTTCATTAAGGATGTGAGCATGAACTGCAGAGTTGTGCAGTACAGAGCACATGTAGTGTGTATTTTTGCCACCCACTCATATGTAAGAAGGAGGGAGATCCTAAACTCCCCTGAAAAGTCTCCAGGGATGAAGAAGCAACTTTGACGTTAGTTTCTACTGTCTGGGGATTGTTTCCAACAGTATCTGGAGACAAATACTACATCTATCAAGATTAAGACTAGATCTCGATTGGAGGTAGTTATTTGACAATGAAAATATTTGGATTTTTTCCCCAACACATTTTCAAAACCAAAAAATATTCCTCAAACTTTTACTTTTAGGTGAAATGCATCAAAGGACGCCGCTTTCGCTAATCTTAAAAAGTTTGACTTAAATTTTAAACATTTATCATTTTAGTTATATTTTACTCCAAATTGTCTCTAAATTTCAAAACTACTTTTATGGTTATTTTCTGTTTTGAAATGTCAAAAATTTGAAAATTTTGAAACTTCTAATTGGAAATTAATCAGAACCAGTTCTGTCCACAAATGGTTTCAATTTGGACAAAGTGGCATTTGTGAAGAAAAATATAAAAAACCATTCTGCCAAAAAACTCCTCTACAGCTCTGCTGTAAACAGTGGGCTGCTTTTCACAGTTGAAATTGTGTAAAATTTTGAATAACAACTCTATTCAAATAGTTAATCTATTTCATTTGTATTACAGATAGTGAACAAAGAGTACATTGTGCAGCAACACAAAACTAATACGTAGTTAATAGCTCCCATTCTTTTCTTTTCTCCTCCTGTGCCTTTACCACAAATGATCCTGAACATATAATCTGTGTACACTCAAACACCACTTCTAGCAGATAAGTCCCAGTGCCCATAGCATACACACAGTAACATTAGCTGAAATATTCAGCCTCAACTGGGTGCTTGAAACCAGCATTTCTGATTTGTCTATTTTATTACATTTTAATTTTTTCACCTTATTTTCCCTTATATTAAAAGACATTTTCTCTGTGCAGATGCAGTAAAATGATCTTATGGGGGGAGTAGTAGTAATATGTTCCTCATTGTACTTATTTGCACAGGTAGAGAAAGTGAAGTGGCTTTAAGGGAAGAGAGAATCCCCCCTGACACCCTTTCTTTTTTTTTTTTAAGAAATCATTACTCTCTGCAGAAAAGGTTTATCAAATGATCTATCTAACAACCTTTTTTTTAAGACACAATCTACATTCATCCTGGATAAAATCTGAAGTAGATGGAGTACACTTCAGGAAAATGCTGAGGCTATAAATGTGTCTAGTTCAAATTTAATTTGATGTGCAAATCCCTGACTGAGAACTTCGCCAGTAGAACAGAGGCACTCCTAATGTCTTCAAGGGAGCCTCAAATGAAGCAGAAGATCAGGAGTAACATTACTAAACTTACAAAGATACACACACGCCCACAGAGGACACCAAGGAAGTCAGGACTATGTGGTGGTTGCTACCAGCATAGTACTGGAGTTATCCAACAGAATGAGCATTTTATCACCATTTACATGAAAATGTTAAAACTGCAATGTTAAAAGCTGTACTGGTTTGTAGTACTAATATGTCAAAGCCTGGAACAAATTCACGGAGGCTGAAAAAAGCAACAAAAAAAGACTTATGGGCTGACAAACCAGTATAATTACATAATTATAGAATAATATGAAGTAATAAACTACAAGGATTAATGTATGCTTCAAACAGCATTAACCAGTAAAATATAAATATCAAAACCCTGGCAGAGCTGAAGAAAGATTCTGTTTTGCCCTTAATTTCAGAATGGTTCTTACACTGGGTAAACAGCATTTGACAAGGTAAAGGAAAACATCACTGTATCACGACTATCAACTGATCTGCACTTGATCTGAGGTAAAGGGAAACTTTCAAGATGTAGATAAGTCAATTTGAAGTTCCACAGAAATAAATGGAGAAATCTCCAAGTCTGCAATAAGCTTCAGCAAATCTCACTGAATTTAAAATCTAAATTTAACTAACTAAAGCCTAAATAATTGCTTTATTATGGTTCACTGGGGGTCAGTTCATAATCACTTGCACATTGAAATCTTGAAAGAAACAGTTTCCTTTACAGAAAGCTGCATAAACATTACATGGTGTTGAGAATAATGTTATTTTAGTAGAATTACTGAGTATGGTCCTTTGAATCAAGTGACTAATCCAAAAATCCCCCAAATCACTTCTGTCCCCACTCCCTGGCAGCCATTCTGCCTGCATTTCCCAGGGAAGAGGTTAAATGTGGGACTTTTAAGTCGCACAGTTGTACTTGCGAGAGCTCTCAGTGCTGGTATGAATTTCATTTCATATCAATAAATTAAACAGAATAAAGATTACCTTAAAATATTCCATCAGAGATCTGGAGTACTTCATAGCATGGTCCTTCTTTAGTTTAAACATTCTCAAGTAGAGAAGTGATAAGCATCGGTAGCTGTGGTAATTAGGAAAGGATTATGTTAATTCCACTGCTTAATGAAACCTATAAACTGTAAAAAAAAAAAAAGCTGACCTATATTTTGCAGTTTCTGTTCTAAGGTTAGATTTTGAAACATAAGCAAATGGAGAAAGAAAAAAAAAGTGGTCAAAAGCATTAAAATCCCATCTTGATAAGAGTATAAATTAGAAGAATAAATGTTTAGTCAGCTGCTGAAGAAATCCATTAGTTATCCTTTAATAGTTTAATGGAAAACAAGAATAATGATCTTCTGTAAGCTGCTTAAGTAATTCAGTACTTTTAAAGTCCTCCTTAAGATTTTAGCTGCTTCTCTCATTGTTGCAATGGGACTTACCATAAAACTGCTAATTTCTTGTCCCCTTCTGTGGCAGAAGAGCCTGTGAAATTCTTGAGTCTCATTGCATACCTTGTCAGAAAGGTGAGGAGAGAAGATAGTGAGAATTAAGATGTTTTCAGGAATACTATTGACACTCTGAAAAATAACAGCCACACATAGATACTCTTCTCCAACTGCAATAGTTAATGGTCATGTTGTTCTGTAAAGATGAGACCAACGTAAAATTCAACAGAAAGCACTACTTAAAATCTGGAGGGCTAAAGTAAATCACCTACCCATTTTCTGGGCCAATGAGGTGAATTACTCTTGGGCGTATTAGTGATATTATATCCAGCCATCTAGGCTGAGTTCTACAAACATTTGTGATGAGTGTTGGACAGAAGCATAAGAACTTGGCCCTGTATGTACTGAAGAGTAGAGCAATATATAATAAGGTTTTACATATAATACTTTGGACTTGAATAATACCTTAAAAATCCTTCTCATAAATGCTTCTTCAAAGCTTTTAATATATTTTATATAGAAAATGGTTTTAAATACAGGAAAGGTCATGTTCACAGGTTTTTAAATTCTTGGGTCCATTAATTTATGAGTCTTGTGTACTTGGTCTTCCCTCTCTATTTAATTGCTGCTGTCCAGCATTTGGATGATCAAAGATTGAGTATTCCTACCTCCCCTCTCTCTTTTTTTTTTTTTTCTTTAACTGAGCACACTCCATTCCATGCATTTAGTCTCTTGAAAATCAATTCATCGCATAAAATCATTGTTCTGAGCCCTAATGCAATTTCACAGGTACTTGTGTTAGAATAAGTAATAGGGTTCAGCGTTGCATAAGAAAGTTTTAAGGTATCCAGGCAGTCTTGATGAGTTCTCATTTACAAGGAGGTAATGGAGTGCAAGCAGGCAGTGCTGCTCTTGCTCTGCTTTCCTCCCACCACACTCGTCATCAACCCCCAGCTTGCAGCTGCAGCAACACCACCTGATGTGCCTCCTCCATGTCCTGTCTCACCTGCTCTTCGGTATTGTTGTTCCAGTCATACTGGATGAATCTGATCAAACATCAAGGCATATGTCTCTCTGGGATTTTCAATCTTATGTTAGGGATTTAGCATTACCATTAACTTAAAACACCTTTGACAGTCAGATCAGACATTCCCAATCTCTTTGATGCTCCACTTGCTTTCACAAATAGATGCAGATACTCATGGCAGACACAGCTAATGCAAAAGGGGAACATGGTGCCTCTGATGAAGGCAGGGATAAAAGTGAGAAAAATCTCCTTCTATTTCTTATCTCACAGTAAAAATCTATGATGTTAACATTGGGAGCCATATTGAGAACGTGTGCGTGCACAGCCACATACTTGGTTTGTACATTCAGCACCCAATGTCGCCCACAAGAGTTGTGCATTTGTCCCTCAGCTAATCACCTTTGTTCCATGTCTGACCACTGAAAGCAATTAAATGGGCAAATCAGTCTCTCTCTGGCTGCCTACAAGATGCTGCACACAAGAGTTGGTGTGTTAAACTCTACCTTTTACAACAGGTGGTGGAATTAATCTCACCTGACTTTCGCTAGTTAGAAACTGGAGATCTACAGTCCTCCAGATTCTTCCATAGGCAAAAGCAGTTCAAAAAGCAAAACAGAAGCAGTTCAGGTGCTGCCTCCATGCCAAGGCCTATCTTCCATGCAGCCTGCAGCAGGACTGGGAAGAGCAAGGCAGTGGGGCCGCGTATGTTGGTGAGCACTGGTTGCTCCAAGATGTAGCCATACGCTCTGCTGACTCCATCCAGCACCAGCAGCGTAGGGTGGAGGGGAGCTGCAGGTATCACCCACCTGTGAGCTACTCCTAGAGCTGCCATCCTCTGAGTCAACAGGTGCACATGTGGTGGCTCTTGAATGAACAAAGATTTTTGGTCCATCTGCTTCTGAACAGAGGGACTGCTGGATTGAGGAACTACATTTTCAACCCTGCCATGTGGTTTTCTTAAAAAAATAAAATAAATGTGGGCTCCTATGAAGAAGCACTCACTTCTTTAAAGTATATTTCTTTAAATACATTTTATCCTGCCAAACAACTGTAGTTGTGTAGTTCAGGACACAAAGTGCCGTGAGAGTGCAGGAAGAGTTTCAGCAGAGTGGAGCAGAGGTAGGAGGCTCCTTCTCTTAAGTCTCTTGAGGGATTAACTTGGATCGCAAGCGTTGAGTGAACATTATTATTTTGTTGAGTAATCGCTTTAGATATTCCTCTTCTCTTTATGAAGTGTAAAATGTAAAAATATGTCTTTAAATATTTAACAGGCATATTATTTACCTGAGAGTAAAAGCTTCTTAAGATTTGATACATTTTATTATGTAAATACCTACTTATTCAAAATGTAAAACATGCATTATTTTTGGCAGTCCCTAATAGCTAATCTGGCATGTTAAAATCCTGCATGTTAAAAAAACACCTTTGTCATATTAAAAACCAAGCATTTAGGGCCTGATTTGCCTCCTTTTCTTCCCTTATGCAAACTACTAGTAATTACACTGACATTAATACTGATATTTCCAGCATACACTGGGGAAAGCAAAGGTGCATCACAGTGAAGAGGGAAAATCCAGTTGTTCTATTTACAGGTAAATTTAATCCTGCTTGATTTCACTTTGATAATTTGTGCAAGTAGAGCAAACAAGCCCTTACTTACTCAGGAGACCATTATTTCTATGGAGCAACACTATGAAATGGCTATAGGGAACAGTAGCAGATTTTAAAATAATAATTGTGACATTTTATGAGTAAGCAAAGACTCTCATCCATATTCTAGCCGACAAGTCTACAAAACTGTATTAAAACTAATTCAGCTGGCTTGCATTCCTTTAACATTAAAAAATACATACTTTTTTAATACAATACATGCAGAAAGCTTCCTCTCTGGCTGTGATCTTATCTGCCAAGTTTCAGCTTTTTTTCTTTTAACAGCCAAGATATAAACCTCTAAAAACAGGGTTTGTAATAGAAATCCTGATAGACTCACTTTAATGTTTTGAATTATAAAACTACACCTTTTAAAAGACAAGTGTCATTGCCAAACAGTGAAATTACTATACTTTACTTCCACCCACTACATTTCAATTTTAATTTTATGAATATTGCAAATTATAACACTCACATTATAACCTCTAAAGGGGATAATTTATAAAAGCAGTGTCCATCAATTATAAATTTTCCATGACATTAATAAAATGGCAAGAACTAATTATGATGACTTCTGAGATGAAGATGCCTTGGACAAATCATTAATACGTTGAAATGGTATTTTTTAAAACATAGCAGGTTCTAATTATGACTGAAATGAGATTATGAAAATGATCACAGAAAGGACATTAACCTGATGAGTTCCACAGTCTCTGAGTACATGGTGTATGGAGATTTAGCTTCTAATGGATCTCGCTCCATAGCGTTCCCGCACTCGATGAAGGAGAGGGCAGCATCAGCATAATTCACTGCTTTGCCGAACTTCTCCAGCTGAAATGGGAATGACACCATCAAGAAAATCCTTCAGCTTTAATTTCTAGGTAGACAGATCATAATACACAGCAACAGTAGCGTTAGGATGAAAGCAAAGAGACGCTGGTAGTTAAAAATGAACTCATACAGTAAGTAAGGCAGGATCTATGTTTTTACAAAGTCTTTTCAGGTAGTGCATGGCCGGACGCTCCACAGAGGAAAGTCAATGTATATCCACTGACATGCATGGATTTACACAGGCAATGGGAGACACTAAACACTACTGAACAAATCCATATTGCTCCTCGATATATGAACTAAGTTGAATGTCACTATGCAAGGGTTAAGTAACAACTCTATGCCATTTGTCAGACGTCACATTCTGCGTTAACTGTTGACCAAAAAAAAAAAAACCTCATCATTTATGAGATGACTGAAAGAGCAGGAAAAAAAAAAAAAAAAGGAGAAAATATAGCACTGCTAAATATTTTCTTTTACTAGGATTTTATTGCAAAAGGTTTTAGCCCTCATAATGGTTGTGATTAAACTGACTTAGACATACTGATTTCTTTTTTTATGTGTAATGAATATTATATATGACACTTTTATAGTAAGTATTTTATAACAGTATTTAACATTTTCAATTTTTGATAGCTGGATGTAAGAATACTACTAATATGGCATTTGATATAAAACATCCAATATACTTTAAATAATTTAAAAATTTCTTTGTATGTCTCTATCAAAATATTTTTGATGCATCTGCATATGTTTTCATTCACAAAATGGAAGCCTATCCTAGCAACATGTTAAACAGAACATTTAGCATTGGTCTAAGGTAACAGTATATTTGCCTTTGTGCCTGCTTCTAAGCAATCCTTATAACTAGTTGCCTCTGATCCCTTTAATTTCAAGTTCTGCTCTTGTGCACTGATTACGTACAAAGCCTTTGTATAACTCATAGGTATTACTTGGATGATCACAAAAGAAGAATTATTTCTAAATGTTTTCTCTCTATTCCAATGGCTGCTTCTCAGCATATTCTTCAAATTCCTTGCTTCAAGTCTTCCAAAGATGACTTTTTGTGGTATAAAGAAAAGGAATGTGGATTCAAGTGGGTTTAGTACAGACACACAGTTTGAGCCAGAAACGGGATTTGACCCTGCCCTTTGCTCCACGCTGACTCTAGTGGAGCAGAGCTCATCACAGCTCAGCCAAGAACCAAGTGAGGTCTCCAAGATCTCTTCCATATGGTACAGTCAGTCGCCACTGCAGCAGCCCATCCAAATTAGTTGATTCCTTACTGCTGTCCCAGACAAGGATAGGTTTTCCTGGGGTTGCTCCCGTAAGAAGCAAAAAACCCTGCCCTTCACCAGAAATCTCTTTTCCACACAAGCTCAGGAACAGCATTGCCACAAATCTCATTAACATTTGCTGACACATCTTGAGGTCACATGCATTATCTTTCCAGCCACTGCAACACATCTTTCAATGCTGTGTGTGCTTCGTCATGTCAGCACCAAGTAACCAGAAGCAATTGTTTCCATAGGACAACTAACACTACGGGATCGCACAGCAAATGTGTTACATGGAGATAATTTGTGTGCAGCTGTATTGAGTGGGAAAAAAAAAAAAAAAAAAAAAAAAAAAAAAAAAAAAAGTGGAGACCTAAATAGCGGAAAGAAAAAGCAGATACTTTGTTCATGGGTATTTATGTCTGCCAACAAGTTGTGCCGTAGCGGATGGCCTCACGTTCCTGTAAGAGCACTCGGGGTGTCAAACCGCATGCGACAGGCAAGGCCTGCCTGCGGGCAGCAGCATGATGTGCTGTGCCTGCTCCTCTTAGTTCTGCTTGAGAAACACCCTCAATTCCGCAAGGCATAGTCAAAGGTAAGAGGACGGGAGACAGGTCAACACTTTCTGAGTGAATCAGGCTGTGGAGGGAAGCGGATTGACATAGCATGTCGAGATCATCAGGAGCCTCGGCCTGTAAATATTTGCTAGCGTGGAGCAGGCATCCCTGTGCCAGAACCATGTGTATTTTCTTTAAAGGTCAATCAGCTGTGGGAGGTGTTGTCAGTCTGCTCCTGCCAACCTTTCCTGCGTGCAGACGTCAGGGCTCTGGCTGAACACGCTCTGCTGAGTTGGGCTGCAGGAACCAGTGCAGGCCACCCCCTGGAAACAGGCAGGCTGGGAGGGACGACCGCGAACTTACTGACAGTCACGGCAGGTTGCCAAAAACCCAAACCCACCTCCCACAGAAAACACTCTGGGTAACGCTGTGCCCCAAGTCAAAGGGAGCCTGGAGAGCTGAAGCAGGCAGCTCGACACGTCAACTCTCCTTCAGCTCACCCACAGCAGAGGGAGAGCCTTTTTTTCTTTTTCCTTCATTTGTTTGTTTTGTTTTTTTTAAAAGCATAGCATGTGATTGTTTTGGCATGGTTTTTTTTGACAAACACTTATTTCCAAGCACAAATTCTCTACGTGGAATGATAAAATACGCAACCCAAACCCCCACAAATAATAAAGCCAAAGGTGAACAATCAACCAGTTCTTTTTCAGTCGTGATTTTCAGGAGCAAAGTGAATCACAACACTCCATTTAAGACATCTTAATTTAAATAAATAGAGGGGTCAAATTCCACTAAGCCTGCCTAAATGAACTGCTGTTCTGCACTCTATATCACATACAGGAGTAAAGCCCCTACCTATGAAGCAAATGGCTATTAACGCACTTCAGTGCTAGCAATATCTTGGATTGAACAAACTATGATAGAGTATAATCTATCAGATTAAGTAGTTTTATCAAAACCAAACCACTTCGCAAAATTAGGTCAATTTTACTGGAATTTCATCTGAGGTAAAATGAGAGAAAAATCTTTCCCAGGGTTCAAAAACCTCATTGCAAGATTTTTTTGGAAGAAGCATGTCGAGTCTTTATTTACCAGCCTAAAAGCATGCAATAAGAATGAATGTATTATTCAAAAATCAATCGTTGCCAATTTTAAACAATTGGATTGGAAATATCAAATGGTTTTACCACATGATAATGGGGTGGAGGGTGATTTGCTTTTCTTAACTTTGTGTTATGGAATATTTCAAGACTTTTGGTTTAGGCTTAAAATGAATAGAAAAACAATTTTCAAATACACATCATCTTTTATGAAACATCCTTTATAAACAGCATGACTGTTGCTCCTCCTCGGAAGAGACACCAGCTATTGTAAGGAGCTACTTTTTTTGGGAACAAATTGTTAAAGGCTAGAACAGTGCTCAGGGTTTGACTTGTTGTGGACAGTCTGTTTATGAAACATAACTTGAAACATGCTTTAGTCAATAGCAGGGTTCCTCTTGGTTTGTGAGGCTTTAGGTGACATTCAGAATGTAGAGTTTTGTAACACCCAGCTCCATAATGGAAAGAAACAAAAAACCCCTGTGATAACCTACCAATGCATCTGCTTTATGCTTCAGCTTCTTAGCCTCTTGCATGTAATAATCCGCATTGTGAAGCCTAAAGAGACAAAAGCCATTATTACAAGTCTTTATTTTCATACAGTTGGGCAAATGTTGTTTATGAAAATTGCTGACTGCTTCCAAGAAAAAATTTGGCATATACACGCACTTATCTCTTTAAATCTTAACCTGAATCTTAATCTGAAACTGCTGTATGCATACATATGGTGGGTGACCAGAATATAAAATAACTAGCCATAGAGACTGGCCACCCAAAGGACTCATTAATGTGTGCTGAATGGAGGAAAAGGAAAAATATTTTAAAGTAATTAAGTATAAGAAGTTTTCATTAGAGAATCTAAAATAAAAAATGAAGAAGAATTACCGTGAACCAACATTCATGATCTGAAAACATTTATCAACATAGTCTTCATTAATCAGTGACAACAGTTCATTTGTAAAGATTAAAACTGTGTGCCTTTGTGCAGCACTATCCGCACAGGTGCCCAATGCTAAAGCTATAATCAAAGATACTCTCTCACTGGGAGCTCTGCTTGCATGAAAATCCCAGCTACGTAATGTGCAGCTAGCACAGAGGTCCAGTAATACTTACACATCATCAAATGTTATTTTGGGTCTTCTGGGCTCAGAATTCCCATTGGAAAGTGTTGGCATTGCAGACCAGATGTCTGTTTCTAGATGGCTGGTGTCAAGAAGAGTGTTAGCTGTTGGTGTATTGTGAGATTCTTCCTCCTAGAAAAAACAGGACTGATAGTAACTCTTCATAGTTCCAACAAACACCTTCCAACAATATCAGTGTTCATATCCACCCCCGCAAAAACCCCAAACAAACGAAAGGCTGAGACACAAAGTAGCATTCATATGTACCCAACTACATCCAGTTTACCTCACAAAATCACCCTTCCATCCTATACAACATAAGCCTATTAGATTAATTAGGCAACATGACTCTACCTCTGACCCCTCACCTGAAGTCATTAACTTACACTCTTAGATAAAGTCAGCCTGGACACCACAGTGTTACTGACGAGAGACACTGGCTAAAGCAAGGGTGGGGAAATCTAATACAGAGGAGCTGGATGTAAACTCAAACTCATTCAAGGTGTACCACATTAATTTAACCTTTTTTTTCTATATTACTATTAGCTAACTGTAAGATGTCTAAAATGTCTGCTCTGATTTCAGCAAGGAACAGTTTCCTCACCCTTGCTGCACAGAACAGAGAGAAGAATGGGAAGCAGAAGTCAGGAGTTGTGACTTTGCATTGATTAAAACCAGAAGCATCACAGAAGCATTTAAATCAGGCAATTGCAACTTGCAAGCTAGGTCCACAACCAGATAAAACTAAATTACAGATGAACCAATGGACTAGGGAAAGAAATCTAACGTATTTTAGAAGACAACTATTTCATGTATCAGGATAATAGATAAACCAAGGATAAATCTGCCTAGAGATGCTGGGAGTGAGAGGAAGTGGCCCTGCTGTTTACATAGCATTGTTTATTTGCTGACATACGCAGTTCATTTTGGCATTGATTTCAGTTGAAGGCTTGTGTATTACTCTCGCAGCTTGAAGTGACACAATGATATCAGAAAGCAACAGGGATGAATGAATAAGGTGAAGTGATTTGTCACCTACGATCCAATGCAACTTGTGAGTTTTACTATTCCAGTGCAGGGTAACAACCTCTCACAAAGCAGCGAACTGTGAAAATCGGGACTATGTATGTCCTTTTCTGTGGCAAAATTTTCTTCTTGTCTTTTAATTTTGACAGTGATACTAAGATCCAGTTTGATACTAACAGTATGTTTGAAACTCTAGAGGGAGGACTTTTTTCTAAAATGGGCCAAAAACCCAAAGTTTCCCTGTTTAACCCAAAAGATGATGACAAACTGATGTGAAATATTACTTTTTTTAAAGTCAATTTTCTGTGCAGCTTCTAGTTCGGGCTCTTTTTCATGTATTATCAGTAAAAAAACATCTGAATCTGGTGAAAAACAAACAAGAAAGAATTGCCTATGTGAAAACCTTTGATGGGGAGATGTTCCTAACAGAATGATGTCTTTGTGGGAGGGAAAAAATGATATTTACATGGTATAAAATATGTAATTTGTGGAGATCGGGTGTAAATAAATCTTACTGCTGTAAGCTGGGAGCCTGCAAACTCAACCCATGTTGAGTGTACTATGCACAGGTAGCTTTTGTTAGATTTTTATTGTTTGTAAAGTTTATGCTGCAATATTCAGTGTAACTACAGTGCTTAATTCTGGCTGAGAATGTGGGGTATTTAGGTGATGGATACTTAAATTCTTGAGGTTTTATTTTCAAAATGTGTGTGCTGTAGCTGCAGAGTTAAGGGACTAATTGCAGCTACTTGGTGGTTGCAAAGGCTCTCCTTTAAGGTTGGGTACTGGCTGCTTCCTAACGCTGACCTAAAAATGGAGCGTGCAAGAGTTGCTTATGCCCACCTCTGCAAAGATCCACTTCTCACTGCTCTTCAGTGGAGCTACATAAGCATTTAAAAATAGATACTGGGAAAAAAAAAAATCAAACAGAACAAAGCTAAGTTAATTTTATTTTAGCTTGTTCACTTCCAGCAACTGAGGTTGGTTACTTACACAGATTCCTTTGGGGTTAGAAGAGGATTTATTTTCATTCTTTCTGTGTTTAGAAACAGAGGAGGAAGAGCTGCTGGTCTGTGAGGTGTTTGTGATGTTGGTCTCTTGGCTGAAGGAGCTGTTGTCACTGCTGTGCCGCCGGTGCACAGGCTCATCCAAGAGGGGGGATAACGGAGGAGGGAACAGCTTCTCTTCTCTTTTCTTTGCCACCTTCTTCACTGAGCTACCGCTGCTCCTGGGACACAGATAAGAACCAGATGCATTTCAAGATCTTTGATTAATCCTCCACAGCACAAAGCTCTAGATTTTATTTACTGAAAAGCCAGCTCTACCATCAAATATGCCCTGCATTCCCCATGGCCTAGGAACCAAGTCAAAAGAGGACAGGCAGTGAAAACAGAAGAGCTGTCTCTGCCTTTTCAATGGCTGCAGAAACCTCCTGCTTTGGAGGACAACTTCCAGTGCATTAGTACAAATTGCACCCAATTTAAATGCTAATTTGAGTCAGTCTTCATTTGAGAGGTCACAGAGGTTCTGACTCAGCAAAGTGCTGGAAAGTTTTATGCATGGCGTTAGCTCCTTTGACATCAAGTATGACTATTTATGCGTTTAACATTAAGCATCTTTTTAAGAGGTGGATTAGGGCCCACATAAGCAACCTTTGCAAAAAACCATAATCGCACACGGCATGTGAATCAAAAAAAATAATTTATAACAACTACAAAATGATAACCATAACAATAACAAGATAATAATTATTTGACCTCTAGAATAAAACCATTGTTCAACACTATATTAAAATGATACATTGTAGCTGGCAAAAGCCCTTGAGCAAATATTGCTTGATGAATTGAACATGATTCAGAAAATGAATGTGGTTTTGACATGAAAGCTCAAGTAATATGATAATCTATTGTCTGTTTTATGTACAGAAATTGTTAGCTGACTAGAAATGGCAGCTGTGACATACAGTAGAACCAAAAAAACCTACCAGACCTTTCTGCCCTCAAATGCATCAAAATAGAGAAAACCAAACCCCAACACCCCACTGACTGTTTAACATGTTAATCTACTCACAAGATTTTGTTTTAGGTACTGTCCTAGCTCAGTCAATGAAGATAACCTGTATTTTAATCTTTTGTTAGACATCTAATATTGCACTACAAAATCATTTACTTTTCATGATTATTGACTAAAATCTCAATAACAAATTAAGTCAACAAGAATTTATGTTTCGTTCCCAGTCATTTTCAGTCACTGTCAGGAATTATAGACCTCCTTTGCCTTAAAGGAACCAGAGAAAGAGAAGGCAGCAACCCAAGTTTCCTTATTCTGGAAACTTCCTCATTACGGAGTTCACTCTCATTCTAGTCTGGCCTCTTTTCAGTTTTACCAGCAGTACTAATATCTACACCAGCTTTGGTCATTCCCCTGATTAAGACCTTCAGTGACACAAAAATATTGTAGCCTACCTGTGATATCACTGAGTGAAATCAAACAAACTCCCCATGTTTCAGGTTTTATAGCTCTTCTATTCAAAACTATTTTAATTCCACTGAAGCAGAGTTAAAAATATCTTATTTGAAATCCTCTGATATTAAAGATCTTCAGGCTGAAGAAATAAAATGAGCACAGAATTCATATTGCCGAATAGCAGGCCTGGGATGGATGCTGTCCTGCTCAGAAAACACATGGGCCTGAAGAAGATCAAAGTAAAGCAACTAGGTTGGAAGAGACTGGCAGTTCTTCGAAGAGACTGATTTTATGCACATGTGGTCCTGCAATATATCCTCCAAAAAGTTCTGACTTGAAGCCCCATCTGTTAGCTTTCTTACCCCCAAAGGGCATTTTGGAACTCAGACAAGTTACCGCAGCTATAGCACAATAATACTCTGAACCTTTTCCAGAGGAAAGTTTTCCAGAGGAGGGTAAGCACTGCCCCAGGAAATCATGCATGTTACTGGATTGTAGGGAGGCCAAGCAGACACAGCTCGTGAAATACCCAGGAGTAGAATCCTTCCAAACAAGTGTCCTACACAGGGAGTCCTGAACTTGCATATACTGGTGGGAGCACAGAGTGAAGTGGTTTTCCATGCCTCTGTGCACAGAAGTGTGTGGAGCTCTTCTTTCTCCCTGGTACAGCTTTGCAAAGGAAGAGCAACCAGGTCTGGCATGTCCATCTCAAAAGCAACCGAAGAAAAAAATCAATGTGAGCCATTGGCCAAGTCCACTTTAGGATCTGACCCTGCACCACTAGTGAGGCTCCTCAGCACATCCGTGGCTATTTCCAGGATTAATGCAGGACTGTCACTTGCAGAGTCCACCACTGCATGGGGAAACTTAAGGAACATATAGAGCAAGAAAAGTCACATTCCTCAGCTGCTACACAGAGGTGGAGGGACTTAATAGGACAAGAAAAAATTAAGAAGGCTGCAGGTAACACACTTAAAACTTCACCACTTAAAACTTCACCAGTTCACTTCAACTTTGGGTTCAAATATAAGATGGGTCAAACCAAGATATAAGTGCAGCTACACAGCTGTGGCACACCAGTAATTCTGTGGGTAGAAAGACTTAATTGTAAAGGAAAATGCACTTGAGGATATCTTTTTTCCTACATAACTCAAATTCAAAAAACCCAAACAAAACAACAATACTTTACCATTATAATTCTGTCTGGTTTTTTTTTCCTTTTTTTTTTTTTCCTTATTGCCTACTTAATCCTATGTGTTATCAAAGGAATTAAGCTGATAATTTATTTAGCAATGTTACCTCCCTCAGATTTACGCCAAAGCATTTATGTTAACAATAACCTCCATGAAATAGGTTGTTACCAGCAGTTAACCAGATTGTCACTTTGCTTTGGGCTGTTAATGGGCTAAGAAACTGGTCTTTGATTGCAGTAATCGCTAATTTTGAATGAATTTATTGCAATAATTACCGAGACTCAATGGTTTAATTTGCTGACATGATTGTTAGTTAAACTATATTTAAAATCTAGGGAGAAACACAATAAAAGCGCAAGGAAAAAATACAAGCAGAACTGATGGTCTTGTGGCTGCAGGGTTTATCTTTGTGTCTGAAAAGGCCAATTATCAAGGAACAAGGAGGCTCCCCATCTGCTTTTTCTTTTCCAGCCTTGTTTCTTTTAGGGCAGAAAGCAAGCAAGCAGGCAACAAGAGGTCAGTGTGTGAAGGAGAGAGAATTTCCATCTTCTCCCACATTTCAAGCTGCCTTTCTTTGCCCTTTCTTTATCCGCTCCTTGTGGTATGCAGTGGCATCTCTGGCCTGTTAGTGAGACAAAGCCATTGTCTATACCAATCACTTGGCTTTCCTTTGCCTCTACTCTCCCTGTCCACAATGAAGTGCCGCACATTGACGGTGTATCTGATTTTCTGCAGGGGGTTAGCAGGGAAAGGTCACTCCCGCATTAGCTTGGACCATATGGCAGCAACTGAATGAAGCTGAAGTCATTGTCATAGATGTAGAAGGCTGTCTCTGCCGTGAAGGAACCCCAATGAACGCCGGTGTGCCTACCCAAGGGATCAGCTAATATTTGTTGCCTGCACTTACAGGTGCATCTTTAACTAAAGGTCAAACAAAAGGGAACAGGAAATCTTGAAAAACAGGCTGCAATGCTTGCCTCAGACAGAATTCTAGCGTGCCTGTTGGACAGCAGGCACGTTTCACTGGTACAAATCTAGTTTGAAATTCAGACTCACAGTTTGCATCAGCAAATAACTCTCTGTGTTGTTACAGACTGCCAAATGTTGGCGAAAAGTGCTCTGTCTGGACTAGGTCTACCAATCAGGTACTCACATATAACTGGTATGCTGCAGCACATACAATTAATGCTTAAATTAAAATTGCTCTGGCAAGCAAGTAAATACATAAATAAACCTCTGCTGCAAAGTGGGCAGCTGATCTGACAAAAATCCTGCCTCACAGCAGCGTTTCAAGGAATTACTGTGAATTACTTGGACAAAACACAGTATCATCTATTTCTTCATTTGCTATGAACTATCAGAAATATGGAAAATACAGTGGCAATAGTCTGAATAATTATATTTTAAGTGTGATGTCAGATTCAGGAAAAGGCATCAGCCCCAGAGCGTGTGAGGGAAGGAACAAGCAGAGAGGTAACTCGCTGCTTATGCAATGAGTACAGAATACAAACCAGATCTCTGGTTGTGCAAGTGGCTTTTAAGTTCACAACTCATTGTTTGAAATTTCTACACTCAAATTTTACATGTAGTCATAGAAACTTGTGGAAATTAGGCATATAATTGCCCATATTAGACATGTAACCCTTTAAAAATTAATTGTGCATCTTTGCTTGCTTTATTGAGCTCATATATTTAGGGAAAGATTATGAGAGAAATGTATTCAAATGCCTAAACCACAGACAGGCAGCCAGTGGGAACTGCAAAAGCACAGGTGTGGCCTATTTTTCACTGATTCCTCCAGACTCCTGAATGCCTCCAGATTTTGGCCCAGAGATCACGGTCTCTCTGTCAAAACACTCTTTTATCTATAAAAACCCAGTGAAAGCCTCTGAAGTCTGCTTTGGGGAACTTGGCTTGTTGGCACAGGGATTAAGTTTTATTGGGAGAGACTTAAGGTTCCTCCTGAGTGAGAACATCCACCATGGGACCTAACGCCTTCTTAATGGATGAACATCATCATCACACCTGTAGCTGAAACACCCTCATTCCTTGAAGTCCTTACATAGACACTTAGGAGTTCTGAAAGAAAATGTGGAATCTTTGGGAATAAAGGAGCAAATGGCAAAGCCTGTCTTTCAACCTTTTACCACTGAAGTGTTATTTTCCCCCATGCCCTTCAACAGGGTACTTTCAGCTTCCCCTTTCTTCTGCCTCCCCTTAAAACTCTACTTAACCCTCTGGAGAACAGAACCACTCCTGACTGCTTGAAAACAATCTGGGGCTCTCCAGAAATTTGTCGTCACACAGTTCAGCCAGCCCCCTAATCTTTTGGGAAATACATTGATCTATATTCAGTTACACATCTCTGGGAGCTGAAGACCTGAATTATCAAACAATATTGCAGGTTTCAGGACTCAGGCCTCAATCACTGCTTTGGAAAAAAAGTAAAAAAATTTTGTTTCAAAATTTGAGGCAGAGGAGAGGAAAAGCTAGCATATGGAAATAACTATTGACGGACACAATTATATTTTAACAGAGAATACCAAGGGCTTGAAAGCTCCGAGGAATCAAATTAATGACCTGGAAAACAAGCTCAAATTAAGAAACATCAGGTTGGGGGTGGATCCTTAGGGCTTGCTGGCGACAAGAATAGAAAGATTTTTTTAATGGATTGTGGAGGTGTTGGGGATGGATAATCCTTGATTCCCTCCGCAATATATCTCTGCTCATTGTATTTCTAGCAATGACAATCAGGCAACACCCATCATGATGTTTATCAAACGTGCAACATGTTACAGACCACATTGTAACTTTCAACTCATCTGCCTTTTCCAGACTCCAACTCTGATTTTCTCAGTGGTAGAATGAGGTGTTAGTTCAAGGACTGAAGTTACTCCATAATTACACCACTATAAATAAAATGATGCTTAACCTTCTTCATGGATTTTAAAATTTGTGTGCTATTTCGTAAATGATTTTTGACCTTTATCTAAGTTTAAATAATACTTCAATCACATTGTTTTCAGAAGCACATTGCGGGTCTGTTTCTTTGCGTGTCCTAGTGTGAAGCCGAAAGAAGTGCCTCATCTCAAAATTGTAAAAGCACAAAATTGATGACAGAAGGGAATTGGACTCTTTGGTTATTTATAGAATGTTAATCTTGTGATTATACTAATCAGAATCATTATTTACGTGGCGCCTGTTTGCTCAAGCATTATAGCCGTCTCTCAAAGACACTCTGAAAGGCACAAACTATTTGATTATACATCTGCTGAAACACAAAGCACGTATGTCTGAAACATTTAAGATGGTCACCCCTGGCATGGCTGTACACACAGTTAAAGAATAAGAGCTGCTGAAGGGAACAGAAAAGTCCCTATTTTGTTCAATAAAACTGAGAACTGTCTCTTGTAAAATGATTTTAAAAAATAAATTCCAGGTAATCAAATAAAGCCCACTTTTAGTAGGATTATCTGGCCATAGAGGTTAAGGATGATAGGGGTAAGAAAAAAACATTGAAAGGATGCAGTATGGGGGTAGAAGAGTACACCAGGATTGTGGTGGCACTCAGAACTCCTGTAGTCTATCAGAAGGATGAATGAATCTCATTCAAAACCATGTGGATCCTCTTCCTGATGGATGGGAATAGCAATGCTGGGTCACTTACGCTTATGGGCTGTAAAGCCCATCTGGCTCTACAGCAAAGACATTTGTAGAACAGTACTGTGAAATCCCTCATGAATGTTATGTGAAAAAAAAAAAGAACTTACTCTTTAGTGCTGGTTAATCTGTGATTCGGTATCGGAGAGATACAGGGTGGGAGCAGGCATGAAGCTGAAGTGTCCTCCAGGCGCTGCTTCTTGCTTTCAACAAAGGTATCCAGGCTTTCTGTCTGCTTTAACAAAAAAGGTAGAGCTTGAAAGATCCAGCACGTATGCACAATTTCACTTGCCATTAAGAGGAGCTCAGGAATCTCAGTGCACATCCTTTACAGTAGCAGCAGTTAAAACACTGGTCTAAAAGAAGTCAAAGTCACCTGAAATCAGGGCTAAACGTGCTCCAAACACATGACATGAAGTTATATAACAAGTGACATAGCCAGATAATTAGGAAGCAAAATGCCTCATATGCTATAGTTATCTTCTGTAGTGCACTGGAATTTAATTAATAATTCAGATGGAATGACTTGATAGCACCAAATCTTACTCAAGTAAATAGCTTTTACTCATTGACTTAATGGAAGTTGATGGGAAAACTTCCCTGAGTAAGTATTCCTCACAGGACTAGAGGACTACAGGACTGAGCTGGGGTAGTCATTAACAGTGATAGCTCGTTTAAAATTTGCTTTGAAAGATTCCCTGATGCATGACTTTTGTGCCTGAACTAGGATGATACAAGCAAAGCTGATTACTGCTCTGTCACTGGAACCTTCATATCAGCCTTCAAGCCCACTAGTAGATGGCTGAAAGAAATCTTTTAATAGTGTGATTTAGAAACACAAATCAGGGTCTCCCTTCCCTGTTTTAACTGTTGATATACCCTCAAGTCATCCTAATTGGTTTGTTTCCCCTTGGGTAGCAGTGAACAATCATACAGCAACTGAACAGGCTGTTTCAGAGTGTAGCTTAGTTTGTACAGTCCCAGGGCGAGGTTCCTCGTTTTGATACTTTCTGATTCAAAATCCCAGCTAATGAAATTACGAGGTTCCAATTTTCATATAACCCTTTTCTTTTTTTCTTGGGAGCCCTCAATTTAATTGCCAATATATATTATTATATTATATATTAATGTTTTAGCCAAGATTCCTTCTCCATCATACTGACACCCCACTAAGTTACCTAGCAAGAAGGTTTTCTGTCTAATTAATGTACACTCTGGTGTACTCATACATACACACAAGCATGGACATTTATACATCCCGTTCCTCTTTCTTTTCTCACTCCTTCTTACATCTCTGCCTTTAGTGTACAGCTAGAATATAAATGGCATAAAAACCTGCTGAGTTTACTCATGTGATTATTTCCACTTAATTCAACAGGGAAGGAGCCAGTGCAGTGACTCATGTAGGCAGGGGTGCAGACCCTGTGTCTGCCTGGCATTGTTTGTCTTTGTCTTGTATTAACTCTCTCGTATCATTGGACTGCTCAAACTCAGGATTTCAAGAATTCCATTAGAACAGAGAGCTGAAGTCACTTTCACTATGATTTATAAAATTTGGGGTATAAAAAAAATTCCGCTATGATGACTTCTCACAGACAGACCAAAGCAAAACCATTTCAGCTGGAAAAACTGACTGCAAAAATTCATTTACGATATAAAACTTCAGTTTCTTCTCTGAAAACACATTTAGTTTGAAGTACACTGTCATATCCCACAAGATAGGGTACCCTTGGGCATAAATAACATAAAACACATGATAAAACATAATGCCTTAAGCCAAAATATATTTGCTTTTTCAGGTAGCTGTGTAGAGAAGGCAGCTAGTTAAGCAAATGATATTTCTATGAATCATATTTGTTTATACAACAAAACAATATAAAGACTAAATTCACTAGGAGCATAAGCAAGCACCATGCCATTGATGTTAATGAAGCTATGCCTGTTTAAGCCAGTGGTGAAAATGCCTTAATTCTGCAGACAATGAAACCCTGCCTTCCAAACAGAAGTAACATTTTCTGAGTATGGCTGAACCCGTAGCAATACGAACTTATCATTACAAATCTCTGCAGATTACAGAACACTGGACATTAATAGGTAAGGGAGCAAATATAGTGAAAAAGCTTGTTAGACCAATCTAAAAAAAATACATTGTTCATTGATTTTGTTAGCTGGAGTTTGTTTTTTTACTAGTTTCTGATGTTAATTAATACATTTGTAAATGTATGTCTTTTGTAACAACAATAAAGCCTTAGCGTTACTCCTCCTTATGGCCCTGCTGCAGGTGCCACGTGGATTCACTCACTGGCTGCTGTCCTAACCTTGAGGACGCATAGAAATTCAGTGTTTTCCTCCGGACGATGAAAATTACTTACCTTGTGTTTCCTTTTGGATTTTGTGGATGGTTTTTCAGCTGCTGGGGTAGGGGACTCTCGAGATGGTCGTCTGTGTTTCATATTTGCCTCTCTCGATTCACTTTTCACAGACGTGCTCTCAAAAGGCTCTTGTCCAGGTATCCTAGAGAGTAAACTAAGGTCTATTTTCACCCACAGAGATTTGAGTTCTTCATATTCTCTCAGTGGGGACAGAAGTTCATTTTGTACGATTGGGATAGGAGAAAAGAGCTGCTCCTCCAAGTCGTTGCTGGTCTGGTCAATGGATGTGTTGCTGCCATTGCTAGTTAAACTACTTACGCTGAGGATGTTACTGCCAGAGTCCTTCACTTTGACGCCATTGCCAGACCCAGTGCAAGCTGGCAGCACCTTTGCCTGCAAGCTCTCCTCCTGGTCTGTATTTGAGTCAGAAGTAGATGAATCCGTTTCAATGAATTCCCGGGACTTGGGAACAATTTTGCTGGGGCCTCTGTACTTTTTCTTCTCCGAAGTGAGGCCTGTGCTAGTTCGTGGTTCTTTCCTTGGAGCGGTCTTCCCAACTGCTGCTTTAGTTCGAACCTTTGGCTGCTCGGGGGGTTCCTGTGTGTCTTTTTCTTTGGGAGTGTTGCTGGTATTATTTGGTTTGGGCCAGTTATACTCTTCTACACTGGAAGTCCTTTCTACCTTTTTGGGTTGCTTTTTCCCAGTAGTCCTTTGTGAAGTTGGCTCATTATGAGCTGGTGACTTCTGCTTGGAGCTCTTTGCCTCTGGGGTTTTCTGGGCAACCCGCGGTTTGGCTTTCTCTCGGATGGGACTAAGGATCGCCCTGTCTTTGGAATCGGTCGGGGGCAGGCTGCTGTTGAGCTTCCCTTTGTTTGGCCCTTCGGCCTGCTGGTTGCTCTGGGCCTGGGAGCTGGTCTCGCTGTGAGGCTCATTTTGATTGTTGATGATGGTCTTGTTGTGGGGGTTCACTTTATTTAGCCATTTATCCAGCTGCCATTTGTTTGTTGAGGGGGGTTCAGGCTGCAGTTTGAAGAATGAAAAAGAACAAATCTTAGACAGAAGCAACGCTTTTCCCTTTAAATGAGAACGTTTTTAACCTACCCTTTTATTTCAGTCAACTAGTGGCGACTGCTAGTTTTACGGGAGTATTTATGGAGTATTTATGGTTAATTAGGCTTCCTTATCTGGTTTACAATGTGGCCCTGGAGAAATTTAATACAACTAAAAAGTTTAGCTGGTCCCCGAAGACATAGTTTTGTCATGTTGCCTTTCCTTAGTCCCAGCTGAATACTGTGTCAATAAAATCTTCTCTAGCTACTGGCAAAAATCTAAATATTTCTTTAAAGCAATTCAAATGTAGGCCAGAAGGATTCTTCCAAAAGCTAGAATGAGTATGTGGGTCACACACGTAAAACTGTAAAGGAAGAAAAAAGTTGACAGCATCAAACAGCACAGAACTCCAACGTTTTTCTAACAGGGAGCAGGATTTCCCTCCCTCCCATGCCTCCCCCTCTGAGCCCCCGCTGGTGTGGAGCGGAGATTGTGGCTTTACCTCCGGCGTGGCACTGCGCGACTCCTCGTTGCACTCGCTGTCACTGGAGCTGCTCTCGCTGTCGGAGTCGGACTCGGAGCTGCTCTCGGACTCACTGGAGCTCCCGGAGCCACCGCTGGAATGGGCCAAGCCGGTTGCGTGTGCTGCTGGCACCGGCAGGCTGCTGTGGGGAGAAGATCCTCTCGTGTCAGTACCCCGTGGGTCTGTTTTAAAGTAGTGCCTTGGGGGGAGCCACCCAGCGAACCCTGTTCACACCACCTTTCCTCACTGTCAACTCCCTCCCCCGCAGCACAGACCCAATGGAAGCTCCAGTGGCCGTGCCACTGCGTAGCCACCAAAGGAGCTTACGCTTCATGGGACGCACTGATAGCGGTGTTGATAACATTACCACCATCATCACCCTCAAATGAGAAACACTTCAGTGTCACAAGCCTGAGCTTATTAGCCCAATGATTGCGAAAACTAACAATCACACTTAAATAATTCATTAATGGAATCATGGTTTCTTCATTTTTTGCCGGTTCATTTATAATTTATGATCAAAGGAAGGACATCAGGCAACTAATATTGGACAGGGCATTTTAAAAATTAATTTTAATGAATACTTTTACACTGCAGCATACAAAACCTACATATTCTTGACAAGTCTCCAGAGACTGCCCAAGAATTTTTTATTTATAGCTGTTTTTTCTCTCATGTTTATGATAATGCAGTGAGAAAATGGCATTCATGCTGAAAATAAGCCTCTCTGTGAAATCTATTTTTCTGCGTGTTCAGCTGTCCTCTAAGATGTATTTATTAGCAGTGCACTGAGTGTCATTGTTTTTCCTCAGCACTTATTTCTAAACTGAGAGGTTGGATGACCCCAGTTTTTAGCACTACAGAATTCTGCCAGTCTGAGTCTTTATAAACTCATCTTTAATTTCAACTTTTTTGTCACGGAGATAACCATAAGGTTTTATGTCTCTTCAGCTGATCTATACAGAGACTTTTTGATGATTGATTTTAAATTTGTGAAGCTGACAAAGCAAAGTGTTTGAAAATTGACACCATTTGCTAGTACTCCTTTATGGATATTCAATACTTCACCTTAATATATCATGTGCTGTGTGTGTCCCATATCAAGTGATCCAGAGATGCCTAGAAGTTACAGTACAGCTTTCCCTTCATTTCTGCTGCCTGCTTTTCCACTTTCCTCCAAGAAGGATTCAAGTAAGCCAGGCACATGCCCTCCTTCCCTTTTCAAACTGAGATGCTAAGTACATCAAGATACCCTCTTAAAAAAGCACAGTAACCAGAAAAGCCAGAAAACCTGATGTGTGACCCTGCTCCACTAGAACCTTTACAGGTATTGCCATTGGCTTCCGTGATGATAATAGATGGTCTTTAATTTTCTTCTTACACTAAGCTACTTCCTCTCTCCCTCCTTGTTGGTAAACCCATCCCTTACATCGTGGTTGGTAACATAACTGTCTCTTTGAGCACTGCAATGGCCCTACAGTGCCCATTGACAAAACAGCTTGGTGCTTTAGGGTGCATTAATGAAACAAAATTACTCACTTGGGTAATTGCTACAGATCACTAACTTTGTTGCTCATTAAGCGCATATACTTTTTTTTTTCCTTCTTCTAGAGGCTCTTGACTCAACTGACTCAAGTAGATCTACTTAAAAAATTTCAACTGGAAGTAACAGGTAGATCAAAAGAACAGATGCTTTTAAAAATATGGGCATATCCAAAAGTATTATGGGAAACTAAACATTGCTGAATTAAAAGAATGGATCTTACACCGTGCATTTGATGTCATTGTTTTTGAAAACCATTTCTGCATTTGTTTTTCTTTCTTTATCCCTCCTTGTCAGCTCAAGAAAGTGTAGGGAAATATATTTTTGACTTTTTTTTTTTTTTTTTTTTTTTAAGAAAAAAAAAAAAAAAAAAAGGGGAAAAAAACCTAAATGGGTTTGTGGGGGGG